ATGGCCTCCAACCTACTAGCGAAGGCCTCCAACCTACTGTAATAGCGAAGGCCTCCAACCTAATAGCGATGGCATCCCCCATGGCCCATGTACGGGGCATCGGTCGAAAAACGTGTTGCTTGAAACCCAATCATGGACCTTCTGGACCAAATCTCTGGGCGACACTGACCGAAACAGGGAGTCGTTGACCGAAACAGATGAAAAATTGGTCCAATCCTCAAATGTTGTCTGGCCCTCCGCAGGAAATCGCTGGGAAATACATGGAAATACCGGTAATAACCTGTTTCGACCTGTTCTGACCACGAAAGCGCTTCAGTTCCAATCGCTGGAAAAGAACACGCTCTGCATCAAGCGCCGATGCTCCTTTTTCCACCTGTCAACCTTTTGAGTCGGGGTTCCCCAAAATTCAAAAAAGCCTCCAGAAAGATCCAAACACCAGCTGTCACAAAGGGGTGCCTATTGGAGGATAGGGGTGCCCAGAACATCCACTCACTGGATGGGACCACCCCGTCTTGTGACTCCTGGCAGGCTTCTGCAGGTCATCCACTTTTCCGGACTCGTGTTGTGATCCTCTGATCGGCCGTATTACGTACCTCGAACTCCCATGTTTTGGTGGTCTCTCCGCACCGACCGTCGAAAAGTACTGAGTCCTGTTTTTGTTACAGAACAAGACAGATCCCATATATACCCTAGGGCTCCTGGCCCACCTCCTGAGGTTCGGTGGTTGGGGTGGCTGCCAGCGGGGTCTAACCATCTGAGGATATGGTTGGAGCCCTACAAATAGATCATAATTAAGATCAGATTTTGCGGATCAAATGTGCTAAGCAGGCTTTCTCGAAACGAAACACCCTTTCATGTCTTCTGAAACGGACAGGTCTGAGGGCCCATCGCAAAAGGCACCCCGACGGTCGCAGAGACGATGCAAGGGAACCAGCTTTGCCTCAGAGACCAACGAACCGCCGGTCCAAAACCACCCATCGCACGAAGACGATTCACATCACCGGGATAGGCAGGGGGCTGCCACTCAGTCGCCATGACCGGGGGAACCTTAGGGTGGATGCCAGGCTGCCCCGACCCGAAAACTGGACAAGGAGTTTCGCCCGGTGGGTCATGGGTCGGTTCGATGAAGACTCCAACCCTCCAAGAGGAAACCGGTCAAATGGCTCCCCACGAACGGGCTATCCATGTCTGAATCTTGGTCTTCCAGCTGGAAGAAATCGATAGGCCATCCTCTTGGCATCAACCCACTTAGCAGTCGCTTTGGTCCAGTCCCTGACACCTCTCATCTCGGGATGCGCGCCCTGCCAGCATGGCCAGCTGGTAGAAGAGCACACCAAAGGCGGGGGGCATGGCGACTGTGGGCCCCGCCACCACCTGTGAGGCGGGTCAAGGGAGCCGGGAGCCGGTCTTCAAACCAAAGGCCTCCCCAAAACCGGCTTCCGTGGGTCCCTAGGAGTACCGGTCCACCGACCTAGGAGTACCGGTCCGGCTCCTGGCTCCGGACTTCGCCCGATGGTCCTGAAAACCAGCTCTCCAAAATGGATTTCACAGTGGCAAAGTGGGTTTCAGCGGCGATTCTTTAGCATCCACGGCGCACTCGCCACGCATTCCTTCCCTTTTGGCCGAAAAAAAAAACACATTTCTGTGCCCCTGGACTTCTGTGCCCCTGGACTTCTGCAGGGTTTGTCTGGGATCGAAGCATCGAAGAGGAGCGTGGTACCGAAGAGGAGGTGCTGGTGGCATGCGTTTCTTTCTTGGGTCGAAGACGATATTTCAAGCCTCAAAGCTCCTGAGGGAACTTATATGAACATCTGTCGCGTCTGTGTGTTATCTGGTTGCAGTCGGGACTTTGAGAACCACCTCACACTCAAACAGTAGCTCAGTAGCCTGTCAAAACCCTCCAGAGGAAATCCTCGCCAACTTGATGCTTGATACGACGGGTGGGTCGTGCACCCAACCCCTCGGCGTTGGCAACTCAAACCCCGCTTTTTCGCGTGCGGGTTAGGCCGGGACTCTGCGACCGGTCGTTCCGCCCGCCACCGAGCGGCCCCCACGTCTCCAGCCACGCGGCCGCGGGCACCATGATCAGCGCCGCCAGCGAGAAGCCCAGAAAGGCGGCCAAGGGAGCGGGCCAAGCGCCAGCGCCAGCACCAGCTCCTTTGGAGAAATCCACCTGGTCCAAGCCAGAAGAGTTCTTTTTAGGGAGGAGACACTCCTCCCCACTGACCGCTTGCAATGGCACATGAACTAGGGAGACTGGGTTTCACGCTTGCCGGAGGCCAAATGAAGAGTCGCGAGCGTGGACATCCTGCTACCAGAGGAATGTTGGACATCCTGCTGAGAGACCCAGAGCTCAAAGGAGCTGGGAAGCTACAAAAGCAGCTCGAAGCGAACTCCGCGTGACGGAGCCCACAGCAATGATCTCCTTCAGTTTGGAACGATATGCGCAATTTGTTGTACACGACCGGGGGTCCCCTTCCCCTTCCCATAATCAACCAAGGCCGTAGAGGCCATCGATTTCTGCTCCACGCCCCAGGGCGTTGCATGGCGTTAGACGAACTCGGACGGACGAACTCGGAAGGTTCCCTCCGACTTGAAACACCCTCAGTTCAATTGATCTTAGACGAAGAGGCCGCCTCGACGACCACTTATAGACTCGGCACATGTACCCCAAAGAGGAAACCCTGGTTGGATGGGAACAATGTGGGAAATGTACTGGTTCACTTGATTGCGCACACCAAGGAGTTCTCAACTACATACAAGAATTGTCACCTTGCCATAACCTACCATTCAAACTTCAAGCATGAACATCCTTCTACGCCGCCACAAAATACCTGGAGACCTTCGGTTCGTTCTTCTGAGGCGAATCCTTTCGGAGCCACGAAACGCGACGGGAAGGCTTCGGCCTCTCGGATCTCCAAGCCCTCATGAAGGCTGAAGGTTGTGGCCTCGCTCGCGGAAAGTACCGGACTTTCGCACCGTTTCGCACGTCGCGGACTTGGCAGGTATACATGCCGGGCGCCGCGAGCAGGGGTGTCCCCCACCCGAAATGTTCCACCCCACACCACCGGGAGGGAGTTCATCCGGGAGTCACCCAGCTTCAGACCAGGCCCGTGACTTGTTGGAGAGACCAGGCCCACAAATCTATGGTTGCACCGGTTTTTCCTCATGGAGTGGACGCAACTGACTGTTGGTCGTGCAAACATGTATGTAGTCTTTTTTCAAGGCGATGTCCACCAAGGACATCTGTGTAGTGTTGTGCTTGGCTGATAGTGTTTGACTCATAGGGCATGTGTGCACTTAGTCCAAAGCGATTACTGGAACTCTTTCACTGTTGGGTCAAGTCGTGTTTTCAACGAAACGAATCGAAGAATTGCGGACGCACTGAATGCCATGTCATCAAGAACAACATTGTCGCCTGACCAACACCCCTACCCCGCACCTACCTCCTGTCTTTAATGCTTTTATGATCCTATCAGGTTCTATCAAATATCAACTAGTGTTTTGACCTGTGTCTCACGCTTTTTTCAACACCGCTGGCTACCAGAAACCGCCAAAGCTTCCCCAAAATAATCAGAGCTCGCCCGCAAGTTTATCCAATCGATCAAATCGCATCAATGGCCTCTGAACCCGAAACGGTGGGTTAACCACTATCATGGAGCACAGAACTCTGCGACATGCCCACACCTGCGTGCCCGCTTCTCGCAAGAAACACAAAGGATCAACCAATGGCAGCACACGGTGGTTAAGGAAAGCGAGGCTGCAAATCCAAAGATCGAGCTCTCAAAGCAAAGGTCCGGATGCCTGTCTTCAGTGCCAGGTGCTGTAATTGATCTTCATATATCTTCTCCATAGACTTGATTCTCACTCATCAACGGCAGGTTCTTTCCTGCACCACCGAACCCCCTCGCGCTCCAGACCAAGGCACTCCTCCCCTCGCCGACGTCGCGGTGCTCGCGGCGCTCGCGGCGAGGCAGAGCAGAGCCAGGCCGCCCTCGGGGACCCGACTGAGCTGTGGCGAGGCGCCCCGCGAGGCGCCCGACACCGGCGAGGGGACCAAAAACACCACCGGTGTCAGCTGAAGTCCAACATCCGACATGGCTCCTTCATGTTGAGAACGGTGAAAGGTGCACGAATTCCTAGCCTGGTGTATCTCTTGGATTGTTCACCCCATTTCGAGTTGTCTGCAGACCCTGCACCAGATTTTTTGCATCATGAAGATTACCTCGATCAAAAAAAGCAGCTGGGGTTGCTGCCAGTGCCCTAGGCGAGCTCCACCGTGCCAGTCTCCTGGCGCCCGCGTCTTTGGCGGTCACAGCCCATAGACCGGGTGAGATCATCAAACAGCCTGGTCCAAAAGGGCGCAACTTGCTTGGCCTGCTCCTGTCCCTTTCGGGCAGGACCTGTCCTCTTGCATTCGTTTGAGGGCTCAGCTTTGGAGCACTGGATGACCAAAAGCAGCCTCTTAGTATCAGAAAGCTATAAAAGGGGGCACTCCTTGAGCTCTTCAGGCGCTAGAATCTTGAAAGGCGCTCCTTTTACATGTTCCAACATCATCTTGATTCTTTTCAATCCGGCACGGCCTCTTCACCTCGGCACAACCACTCGACAGAAAACACCAACCCGGCGTTTTCACCCACCTTCCGCTGGGCCGACATAGGGGCGGCAGCGCCGGGCAGCGACCCCGGGCAGCGAAGTCATTCATGACTCACGAGTCTCAAGAGTCGTCACGATCGTCGTCGGACCGAGGTCCAGGGAGACTGCGGTTGAATCGAGAGGGTGAGAGAGGGAGCACGGGGTCTGCGGATTCCACCGAAACATGAAATAGACAATCTGGAGTGTTTCCCAAGCTCAGCTAGCGCTTTCAAGTCAAACTCAACGAAAAAGAAATTAGATTCAAAAACATCAACAAGAAGGGCACGAGAAAACAAAGAGTTCGAGTTGGTGACATTGTAGTGTGTGTGTGTGTGACAAAGTTGTTATCCTTGAGCTGACAAGCAGCGGACGTTGCCGCCTTGCAGAAGCCAATGGTTGAAACTCTGCTTCGCCTTGCCTTGATTCAGCGATGATACTGGTCATGATCAGACCTTGCATGAACCTCCTTTTAATACAAAACAACAACATCATCACTCAGATATGTTTGGTCAACAATTTCCAGTCTCAACCATGTGGGCGTGCTCGCACGGTCCATGCTTTTCCAAAAAACAAGATCATCAGTGCGCGGTTTCCCTTTGCAAGGGTTTCGCATGGATGCTAGTTCATTGACATTATTATATATTCCAGCGGACTACATCTCTTCGGAAAGCCCTTCTCTTCGCGATGTTTTGCTCAGGCCCTTCTCTTCGTTTCTTCAGCGTACAGGAATCCTTCATCGCCCAATGGCTTACCAATGGCTTGCACGTACTAAGCCATTGGATGTCCCCCGAGAACTCACAGTGTTCTAAGTGATCCGGTCGCAGAAGACGTTTCCGCGTGGGCAGTCGGGGGCATGGAGGGGACGCGTGAAACTGACCTACATTTCACGACGGCCACAAGGCAAACGGGGGCTTTGGTGCAGGGCCACAGACAGGACAAACTGTTTTCAGGCGAAACACTATCCTCACATGCAATTCGGATCCTTTGGGGGGGACGTCCTTCTCCTGGAGTTTAAAGCTGGACCCAAAAGATCCACATGACCATCAAGACCCAATACGTTCGTGCAGAGTGTTCTTTTTGGTCCTCCGGGTCGACAGATGATAGATGGGGTCAGAATCGGGTTCAAGAACTGACCATGCAGAATTTGAAGAAAGCGCAAGTCCGTGCACTTCGAGTTGCCTTTGTCCCGCATACAACAACGGTTGCTCTCACACACTTCAACTTTTCCACCCAACTCCTCCAGTTTATGGCAGGACGCCAACCGGTCCCCTACTAAAAAATCGCCAATCGAAGCCACACCGAACCAGCCTTGGAGGCTGCCAAATCAGAAGCATGCGAGCCTTTCGAAGTGGCACACAAAGCTGCAAACCAGCGCACCAATGGCAGTGGAATGGGCACCCCCGTTGACCGACCAAACCCCAGCCGCGAGTTGGTGTCGCGTTGACCAATATTGCAGGGCTCATCAAATGCCAGATCTGAAAATCACTTTCAGGCTGCCTCATCAGGGAGCGATGCAAGTGACACATGACAAGAGGGCCTGCAACTCGGTTGGAAAAGTGTTCACTGCGCGACACTGTACACTTCCCCTAGATTTTTTAGTTCGCAAATGAGTCCGGTGCACTTCAAAATTTGTTCGCCCACGTCAACAACTCAAGCTAGACAGTGCACTCCCTCGGGCACCTTTTTCACTCACACCAGGATTCATTCGAAAACTGTACATGTGCATACAAAACACAAAGAACTCTTCACAGACAGCACCTGAACATTCGACAACGCTGCAAAACCAATTCAAAATTTCAAGACTCTAACTACAGTGTTACGGTCAGGTTCCTTCACTCTCAAAACACAAACGAAACAACATACAGCAGGAAAAAACTCTACTTCTGCCACGGTGGATCGAACTACAGCACCTTTCGCTTGTCATGTGTGTCCGTGCATTACAGGACGTTCGTACAGTTGTTGGAACGTTGCACCTTTCTCCTGACATTTCTAGGTATCTCATCTTTTCTTCTGTCACAAATGTACGCACCTTGTCTCGATTCAAAAAAATTTGGGCGAGCGTCCCCTTGAGGTGAGTCAAAGGAAAAAAATTTGCAGCGTGTGATTTTGAACAACAAAATGCACCCGATTGATGCGCTTGTCTGCGCGTGCGTCAGCACGGTCGGCTCAAGGGCCCTGTGAACCCACCGTGGACAGAAGAATTCGGCTGTACAATGTCCGTCAAACAGGTAAAATCAGGATGGGGCTTTATGAAGATATTGTTGAGGGTTTGCGTTCACGTCCTTGTTGTTTGTTGCAAGCTGCGCCAGGCTGCCGCCCGGGTCCCGGTTCCATCTTGAGCATCAACATGTAAATTTTCCTTTCCAACGCACCATATATACCGCAATCAAGCTCTGGGTTGGGTCGGACCGTCCAATGCAGTGCGCAGGACCGCCTCGTTACCACTTCAGTACAGGCATATCCTCAACTCAATGTTAAAGAGGGAGCACGAAAGTATACATGAGTTTGTGCGTCCAGTGGTGCAAGACTTTGTCCATCAACAGTATCACCCCCCTATCCACGTTCCCACCAACTGCTTTGGTACGCTCAAGCGTTCGAGGCAAATTCTTCGGTTTCAAAGCGTGAAACAGGCGTGCGTATGGCAAAAGGGCCTTCTTAGGCAGAACGACAAGGACCGACAACCCTTCATTTGAATATGTGGTTATGACAAAGCGTGTGCCCAGTGCGTCGGGCTTTTTCTGGTGCCAAGTCAAGTCACAGCACAAGGCCGTGGTGACATGTCAAATGAACCCTGGAGCGCTTCTCGTAGGGTGATACACTTCTCAACTTGTTCTCTTGATGGAAAAACAGTGCGATCCTTCGACCACACTCCCCTGGCTTCATTGAAGCCACTTCACAAAAACAGCCGCTCTCAGTTGTTCACCGCCTCAAAGCTCTCATCTGAGCTATCCTCATCTCGCAGCTGCGACGTCATTCGGAATCTCCGTCCTTCTCCCCAGGGTTCCGTCCTCCCAGGCCGACTCACCGGCATCTGGGATGAAATTCTCATCCAAACTGATCTTCGTCTGGATCCGGAGCCGCTGGCTCGGCTCCTTGAGCATCGGGTCCCCAATACTCTTCTGGTCGATGAGGTGCCAAATTGTTGCTGACCACCCTCCACCCATCGCTCACCATGTCATCCAGCCAGCGACGCCAATCTGCCCTCTCAGCCTCCCCAGTCATGTCCTCCAGGACAATGCTCCAATCCTTTCTCTCTTACTGAAGGTCGAACCATCATGTCCTCGAGCACCTTGGGACCACTAGGTGGCTGAATCATAACCCTGATCATCGCCCATGTACCCAGAGCTTCCGGGCTGGCTCGAAGTCAACGAGTCCTGTACTTCTCCTCCACCCTCCACGCAACCTGCTCTCATAGCCCAAGCGCACATCCCGCTCCATGGCATCTCAACCCCTTGCCAGTGCCGTGGAGCTCCAGCTCGATGAACTCTCCAATAGGTTGGACCTCTCCTCACATAGCGCACCTCCCGAAGCTGCTCCTCTGGTCTATCACTCGGGGCAGTGGACTCCTCCACTGATGGCGCTTCTCTTGGTCGTTCCTCACCCGGCTGCTCCGCAATGCCCGGCATTGGCGGGGGCCCCGAGGTCAGCGAGCTGCTCATAGATGACGAAGTTCGATCCCCTTGTCCCTGATACCAGCCTTGTTTCTTAGCTGGCAGCTACAAATCAAGGCTGCCAGCTGAAAACGTTGGCTGGTGACCAGCCAAGTTTTGTGGCTGCCAGCTACTAAAAGCTGCACCCACCAAGTTTTGTGGCTGGTTGGACCTGCAAGGTATTGACTTGTGCAGAAAATTAGTAGCCAACGGACATATATATAGCCAAAAATATCAAGAAACAACGAAAAGTGCATACAGTCTACCCTGAAAACATACACAGATTTACCTGTTTTGTTCATACACAAACATTTTCAACCAAAGTCTTATTTTGGAACGTTTTTAGCTATTTTGAAGTTATCTCGAACTTATTTTCATTGCTTTTAAAACAATAAGTTCAAAATCAAGGTAACTTTCCTAACTTCCAGTTAACTTCAATGGTGCCCGGGCCTCACCCTGTACTGGCCTGGGGAAGGAGCGAGCGTGTCGACCGATAGCCGTAAAACGCTGTAAACCTGCAACCTTGAATGCATGGTCATGTCTTTATCTGTGTGGATTCAGGTGGTGTGCCACAGAAACCATGCAAGACTGTAACGCCAAGCCTTGTGGTCACCACCGATTCAATCATCCAGCTCCCCAGCGGCAGCGACATGCTGTGTTTTGCATGTTTTCCTTCCCCCTATATGGCACAGACTCACGCAAACGCACTTTCCACACCGGCTGCTCGAAATCGCATGGCGCAGCGACATCGCAGACGTAATTTTGCAACACGCTGCGCCGCAGACTAGATCCAACAATGTAGCACCGAGCCTCGGAGGCACCCCCAGTCATCTCCTCTTCCCTTATGGCTTTTCATTACCGACAACAGCTACACACTTTGGCAACATCCACCGATTGAACTTTACAATCTTCCGAATTCCGAATATTCCCACAGCTTTTGAGACTTGATGCGTGTTTCGTGCGAGAGTGTTGCGTTTCGTGGTGACTCGTGGCCACCACCCCTGGCTTAAGAAAGAAAGATCATTTTAACGCAGAGAGAAGGAGAGAGGGAGAAGAGAGAGAGAGAGAGAGGGAGAGAGAGAGGGAGAGAGGGAGAGAGAGAGAGAGAGATGCGCAAGTGTGAAGAGCATGTGTGAAGATGAGCAGACGTAAGATGCGCGGGCATGAAGGTGTGCATGTGTGAAGATGAGCAGATGTGAAGATGTGCAGATGTGAAGATGAGCATATGTGCAGATGTGCATATGTAGATATGCGCGGATGTAAGTTGAGTTGATTAACCCTTCACTCAGGCGCTCTCGGGAATAAACATCCCGATGAACGCCTCCTCAGAACTCCCTCAAATCCCAGGCCGGCCCTCCAGATCCGCCTTTTTACATCATCCCGGTCGAAGCACTGTGATTGACATCAACAGGTGTGCAGCAGTAAAATGATTTAAAGCAAAGCCACTGCCGGCCCATGCTTCAACATTTGCTGTCACGAGGTGCGCTTGTCTTGGAGCTGGAAGCCCATCTGTCTTTGCTTTCTTGCATACCAATGCTTTTCAAACGTTACCAAAGGCAATCTGAGTGCTTCCCTCAATCCAAGCTACAAAAGGTCAATGCAGTATTGCATGAATATGGTGCGGCATGAAAGAATTGTATCTTGGGAAGTGACTAGCAGGAGCGACTTCCCTTCAAGTCGTTCTTTCAAACTCCCTCAAGCGCATGATTTGTCAAAGGTTTCCCGCTCCAGCTGACCCACATTCCACACACCCTTGCCTGACTGGAACAATCTAGCCAGTGAGCGTGCAAAAGGTCTATAGCAACTTCAGCGAGGGCACTTAGAATGCACACCCAGCAGAATTGTTTTACATCTCCATTGGAGGGGCTTGTTCATCAGTCAACATTGCCCCGAGGGAGGTGGCCTCTCAAAGTCGAATTGCACCATTCTGAGTGAATGAGTGAGTGAGTGAGTGAGACTGCTACGAGGCTGGACTAGTTTGTAAGCTTGGTCAAGGCCAATTGGACCCTCCAGGATCTGCTTTGTAGCCTCAACAAAGAAACGCCAAGCACGAGTGCAACGCATCCAACGTTCGACCGGCCTTGCAATGAACCTCGCCGTTGGGCCGCAATCGGCCCTGCCATCCGGTCTGCCATCTGTTCAAACACAAGTGTCGCATGTGGCACGCGACGCCTTCAGCCACCAAGTCAGACACACCGGTGGTCGCCAGTCAAGGAGCAGCCCCGGGTCGGCTTTGAGGTTACCAAGCGGCACTATGCGGAACCAGCTTCAGAGTTGGTGAGAAATCCTTTAACCTGCGAAGCTGGGATTAAGGTTTGGAGCTTGGGGTGCTTTACGAAGCCGAGGTAGTTGAAGTTTGTCCTCCTTCTCACTTTGTGACTTCAATTGCTTGTGGTGTCCGTTGCACCTATAGAAGCAGCTTCCGTCTTGACTCACCTTGAAACCCCTTGACACTGATGCCCGTAACTGGGGGCGCTCTGCTGACTGCAGTGACATGCTCATCGCCTGGAGGCTGAAGTCTGACTTGTTTGACTTGCAAAAGAGCGGCTACGAACTATCTCAGGAGAGCAGGATCATGGGTGTTTCTTTATTGCGGTTCATCTGGCGACCGCTTTCTTTGAGAATGTGAGTGTGTGCGTGTTTCCCCTGCAGGAGGTGGTGAACCTTTGGTGTGCTTGAGCATGCTGGTTTTCTGCAAAAAAAACCAACATGTTGGACTTGAGACCGTGTCAAAAGAACGCATGCGTGAATGAAATGGAATGAATGTTTGTCTGCTTCCGGCAAACAAATTGGACACAAACTGTGGCACCTTCAATTCTTCGATTTGTTCGAGCTTCGTCTGACCTGAGAACTCAGGGGTTGGCCAACCGACCTATATAAATACTTCCTTCTCAAGCGGTCAAAGGCGAGCGGGCAAAGGTCAAGGTCATTTTTTCTTGGCTGGACATGTTTAATCATGTTCATGCTTTTTGTGCGAGGATATGCTCCCTTTTGCCAACATGAGGAAGGACAATTCAAATTTGTTGCAAAAAATCCAGCAGAGGCACTTGGCACTTGGCACTTGCTTGTGGGTATACTTTACGAGCGACTGTGCAGTTCTCCGCCGGCCAGGTGATGTCCACGCGTCTCATTCCTGCTTATGTCAAATAAGTCGTGCGGCAAGAGTTTCAGACGCATGTTCGTCCTAAAGCTTTTGCTTGGTGGCCAAATATTCAACTGAATCCTTCAGATGAGCGGTGTCACTGTAAGTACTTGGAGTCCGCCAAGAGGCAATCCTTGTCATCCGAAAAATCAAGTCAAGGAGGGAAATCAGATGAAGTGCAGCTGGAGCTTGACTGAGGCCGGGGCATTGTCATTCACTTGTTGTTCACATTTCTGCGTAATTCGTTCATGATCCATTGCCACCAGACCGTGATACAGCCCCTGACCTGCCACCTATGCTAGGGGGTGCTGCTCTCAGCAAACAAAATGGAAGGCACCCCTGATGTTGGTGGGTCTCAGGCCAGGTTGGCGGCTGCTTTTTCAGCCAAACTTGAACACACCTGCGCAGGTTAGATTCTGTTGTTGGAAATTTTC